TTAGTACGCGGAGCAATCTGTGGAGCTGGAAGCTGAGAACTGGCGACCCACAAGAGTGTCCTACAAGAGTGTCCTACAAGAGTGTCCCAGAAGAGTGTCCCACAAGAGTGTCCTACAAGAGTGTCCCACAAGAGTGTCCTACAAGACTGTCCCACAACAGTGTCCCACTAGAGTGTCTCACAAGAGTGTCCCTTAAGATCCACAAGAGTGTCCTATAAGAGTGTCCCACAAGAGTGTCCCACAAGAGTGTCCCACAGAGTGTCCCACAAGAGTGTCCTACAAGAGTGTGCTACAAGAGTGTCCTACAAGAGTGTCCCACAAGAGTGTCCCACAAGAGTGTCCAAAAAGAGTGTCCCACGAGAGTGTCCCACAAGAGTGTCCCACAAGAGTTTCCGACAAGAGTGTCCCACAAGAGTGTCCTACAAGACTGTCCCACAACAGTGTCCCACTAGAGTGTTTCACAAGAGTTTCCTAAAAGAGTGACCCACAAGAGTGTCCTTCCCAGAAGAGTGTCCCACAAGAGTGTCCTACAAGAGTGTCATTTGGATGTATTAGTTTTTCGAACGTGTTTGCATTCGGTTTCGTGGGTTCCATCTTGTTTAGAACATGTCCCTTAAACTTAGCATGTAGCTAATTTAGACAGAACATTGCGGAGTACATACGTATGCTTAATCATCCACTGCATGGAGGTACTCCTTCAACAGCAGTTTATCTCAATATTACAGTAGCTTATACTGTATATATATAACATACGTTTGGAAACTGTTTAAAACATGTCTTGGAAGTTGTACTCTTGACTTGTTGCGCACGGCAATGGAGCCTATCATCGCATGATATTGCATGTGTGTTTGATTTCTGGAGCTGTCCCCTGGTTCCACCATCTAAACATATTACTTTTTTAGCCCTCCTTATGTTGCATTTAGCAGCTCCATTCGACCAAGCGAAGGCATCAGGACACCTCGTGAGTTTTCTTCTCCAAGATGCTGCAATAAGGGGATCTGGGGTTGGACATGTGTCCACCAACATGTTGAGCCACGACTGAACCTTCCCAAGTTCAGTTTGCTTGGAGACTCTACTGTAACTACTCCCGCACCAAAAGCTTTCTATGGACTCAGAAGGGTTGTTTTGTTAGGCTTTTGGTTGATATGGGTGTGACTCACGGTACGTTCCCTCATTTGGTATCCGTTTGGGACCCCTCAAAAAAGGTTCAGAACTTCTGACACTGCACAGACTCCGCACCGACGAACGACCCCGTTGACTCACCCGAGGTGTTTTCGGGTGCTCCGAAACTCGGCAGACGGGCGAGCCGGTTTCGGGCGGTTTTGGAAGATGGAATATCTCCGAGGACGATTGGTACTTCACTTATAAGACGAAAAGGGTGGGTGGGTGGGTGAGTGGGTGGGTGGGTGGTTCAGCCACTTCCAAAGTGATTATGTGAGTGGGTGTGAGTGAGTCCGATTGGTGAAACACATGTGAAACACATGTGTTCTGTGAATCGATGCATGGGTGTCTCCCTACGTGTTCACATGCGTGGTTTTCACCTGTTTCAACGTCCACAGGTGCAGTCTCCTTGACACCCCACCCTTCGGGTTCAAATCATCCGACCGCCACGGCCACGGACCCGCTGGGGCGGGTTCACCCGGATCGGCGACGTCTGAGCGGCTGAAGAAAAGAACGAGCCATGATGAGCAGGAGCGACTGATGGACGTGCCATTTTGAGTACTTAGGGGGCTGATGGTAGTTTTCAGAGGAAACAGTTCTGGTTGTTCCGGGTGCGTCATCATACAAGCCATCCATACAAGTATCACAAATCTCGCGAAGTCAACAAAGAGATGAAGAAGGTGCTTTCATTCGGCTCCGAATTGCTGGCATCGCCTCTCACGACGGGTCGCCGACCTCGCCACTTCGGGTTCCACCGAAAGGCGGCCCCGTCCCGGTCGAGACAAAACATCGGCACGGCAGGCAGTTCTTCCGAGTTCCAGGAACGTTGCAAAGCGAAAACTGCCGGGAAAACGTGACCAACGCGCCTCCTTTTTGCGAGATGATGAGTGTTAATTTGGTTGGTCTTTCCCCGATCCATTTGGTGGATTCACCTGGAATCTTCGCTTTTCTTAAGGACTCTTCCAGGGTCCTCAACTTCTTTTGTTGCTTGGCCTTCAATGCAGCTCCGTTTCGATTCAGATCCGGTTCTTGTCAGCTGCCATGCATGGCTTTGTTCACCGGAAACATGTATAGAATTTAGGGGGGTGGTCAAGTTACTTTCTCAAGGTGTCCACCAGGCTTCACCAGCCAGCGACAGATCGCAGTGTCCCACACCCAGGCTGTTGGGATGGTATAATGTCGGCTGGAAGAACTGGCTTTTTGGGGATTCCCCACCAGAGTTTAAGAGTTGATATCATTTGATATGATTATATAATTTAATGGTTTTGTTGGGTAAATTCCGCATGTATTAATGATTGTTCATACATATGTTCACTCCGAACAATTTGTTTATTTTTTGTTTATGTATAATTATGACATGTTTGCTTAAGATGTGGTTTCTCTCCCGAGATGAGGTGCTGCATTTCGGGCTCTCAATGTACTTCTGCTCATTAATTTCCAGACTGTTTGGAAAGCACGCACTGCCCCGAATGTGGCAGCCGTTTCTTATATCATATCATTCTTCTTGCGATGTTCTGTCACTTTTTTGATGTGCTTCAGAGAAGGATACACCTGCAAATTGACTTCCGCTGTTGTTGGCAAATGTCATATAGCATGATAAGGCTCGTAGTGGGTGGTTCCTACTCAGAGATTTGCCTACTGTTTGGAGCGGAATGGGAACGAGCCCCAAGATATGAGGTTGTGGCTACCCGGAGATATTTGACTTTTAGCTAACTGTCTACCTCAAGGTCTAGATTGTGTGTGTGTGTTTTAAGGGCATGAACTTGCATTCTAGATGTTTTGAACGCCACTATGCCACTGTAGGTATTCAACAGACCTATCAACGTACACATCTGACCTTCACAGCGATGAATGATAGCTTTTTCAGGTCAAGTCAGGAGGTTTTCCCTCGGAATCACTTGTCAAATCTGCTTCAACTTACAGTGGTTTCAGAAGTTCGATGGAACAAGGGCCCCCAAGATGTCCCCCTTAGAATTCTTAGATGAGCGTCCACTACTCAACTGCCCACATGAAAGATTTGGCCAGCTATCTCAATCCGCTCTATTCTTCGTGTTCTTTCCTAACCGAACTCGTCCCCGCTCGCTCGTTGCGGCTCTCTGCACGAGCAGATTGGGGTTTGGGCACTGAGGACCGCTTGTAATACCTTCTTGCATTCCCTGCTTTGGGCCATGGTGCCTGGGCGATATCGAACCAAAAAACATGGCATGAGTTGGTTTTCTATGGTTTTCTCCGGGCCGCGGTGCTTGGGCGATATGCACCTTGTGACACCTTGCGAGGGGCTTTGTGTGATGGTTGCCGTGACACGGGGAGCCGTGACACGGTAACCGTGACGGACAGGACGGACCGACGAGACAAGCGTGTGATGACAAGCTGTGTTTCCACAGAACAGATCCTTTCCGGATACCAGCACCTTCATGTCGGGGTCACCTGGCTGGAAGCCCCTACACTAAGGGACCTCCGGCCAGGACACCCCTTAAAGGTCCAGGTAGATTCACCTGATTGGAGGTGGTTGGTCGATTTGAGTGGCCAGATTCTGCCGCAGGAAGGCATTTTGGTCCATTCTTTCAGCTGTGGATTCTGAAAATGCTGAACACACCAACACCCACTAACACCCACCAACATCCACCAATATCACGAATCTCACGCATCGCGCCGAGAACCTTTGAAGTCTATGGACCCATGAAACTGCCATGTAGCGATTGGTCTGGGGCACCGATGGGACAGTTCGCCAGCATACCGTGCCATGGAAGTCGTGTCAGGGACCGAAGGGCCGGATGAAGGACCGATGAGGGACCGACGCACATGGTGCGTCACGCAGCTGTTTGCTCGTAGCACAAAGTTCTTCAAGAACTCCTTCTCAATCTTTTACGCTTTTAACTGTTAACGCTTTTGAGAACAGAGAGACACATCTCCGCTAGCGAGCTGCAGCCAGAAAGATCTTCAGCAGGGTCATCCGAGTAGTGGCCCGGCCACGCCGTTCGGCATTTGTTTAGGACCCCTCTTTGGTTGTTTCAAGGCAGGGCCCTCCCTTTTGGTGCTGAGGTGTTTCTTTTGGTCTTTATGCTCACCTTCAGCCTGGTCTTGGGCAATCTCTTGCTGGAGTTCTTTGTCGATCCAAACGCTTCTGACAGGCGGTTGAGGGCACAGTTTCATGTTGGCTTTCTTTTGTTGAGACTTCTAGGGGAAACGACCATGAAACTGAACCATGAAGTAGTGTCAATGTTTTGTGACATATTTTGACATGTGAACTAGGTTTGAACTAGGTACTGCATGGTACTGCATACCCCAAAAGAGATCCTGAACTCCAAAAAGAGGATTTCTAGAATTGCGGAACAGCAAGCTGCCTTGCACCAGGGCAATGTCAAGGTTGTGAAGGCAGCAGACATCAGCAGACTGTTCCCATCAGACACAGCAGAGACCTCTAGTGTTTTCGAGGTGGCTCATGTGCTACCGATGTCACCCTGCTTCAGATGGAAGACCTGTGGACCTATAGGGTAGACTTAAGCACATAGAACAATGTTCCTCGGTGACGGCTGGAGTTCAGGTGACGCAACTGAAAACCGCGAGGTGTGAAAACGGTGACGGCTGACAAAAAAAAAGCAGGTTTGCTGAATCCGATGGACTATCCACGAGCGGAGTATCTAGTTGCCTAAGAATGGGCTTCAATGGCCTCAACTACTATAAGGAAAAACCTGGAACGACACAAAGGTATGAGCGAGCTCTCAGCCACAGCTCATGTGCTTCCACTTGCTTGTGTAATTGTTGTAGAAATCCGTTTGAAGTGGTTCTTACCAATCGATTCACGGATCTGTTTCTTCAGTGTCCACCAAGAACTAATCAACCGGTCCGGAGAGGTCTCCCATGGGCGGGTGTCATCGACGCGAGCTGGTTCAAGAAGTACCTGCTATTCTATGGCAGTGGGTCAAAACCTGGAGTTCCGTTCCCCCTGCAAGGTTGACCATGTCTGGTAATTAATCTATTCTGTACATTCTTGCTAGTGAACCAAGGTCCCCTGGTTGTATGGGGCCCTGATCCAAATTGGGAGTCCATCTAGGTGCCGTCTCAGTCTTTTCTCGATCCACAACAGCATTCATTTGTATTGATGCATCATCAGAGACCCAGTCATTAATCAAGTAAGACTGATTGTGCCTACCAGCAGGTCGGTAAACGGTTAAACGGCAGCTGCACAGGCCACACGTGTTGTGTTTGTTTGCCTTCCTGCTCACACGCTCAAGTCTGGAACGTGGGCATGCGGCATCTTCTGGGGATGTTTCTTTCATCTGGAGAAGCCCTGGAACACTACTAGTCCAGGGCTGTTGCCTTTGGTGATGAGACCGCTTCAACAGCATGCTGACTGCTTCGTCCAGCTTTCGTCTCCTCGTTAAGAAGCACACGCGAAGCACCCATGGAAACCCGCCCGGCGGAACGAAAACTGAGACATCAAACGCTGTGGCTGGCTGCAGCTGTTGTCTGAACTGGCGGCAGGTATTGGGTTTGGGAGCGCTATGGCACCACCCTCCGTGCGATGTACACGCTCTTCGAGCAGCTGGGACGACTGGTAGGGGTGATATTCTTTCTCATCCAAACTCAGTCTGTGTGTGTGGGTGACCATTACAATCCATCGGACTTATCGATTCAAAAGCCACAGAGCTGTTTGGAATACTCAGACACATTGAAAGGAATATACAATTGTATGGTGGGGCATACAGGGTCAATGATGGCCAATGCAGGAAAATCTTGAACATCCCACAGATCATCCCCATGTTGGAAGACGTTGGCTCACTCCAACCCCGTTTTCCTTCACCGAGGATCACCTTCAGTGGCAGTTGGCCCAACTCAACACGGCCGTTGATCGAGAAGGTGAATGCAGGCGCCGATCTGCCTTGCGCGTGAGCGAAATGGCTCGCCCAATGAGAGCACAAAGCTTCCAGTAACAACGCTGTAGAGGCTTGATGTCATAGAGAGAGTCATAAACTGGATGACCTTGCATAAGAAAATGAATGACTCGGGTTCACCGGATGAAGTTATTGATGCGTCATGGCTCCTGGCTCCCCACAATTTTTTGCTTCGCTGCAGCGGACCTTCTGACCAAAGCCAATTGGATGATTTGCGGTGAACAACACTCCTTTCACCACCCAACTGATCGCGCTTCTCACGGACGCTGACCCAAGGCTTGGTCTTGTTCTTCGTGGTGTGCCTTGGCGGTATGCGCGTGTTTGCACGTCCTGCAGGAGAGAAACAGTCTTCTACTTCGCAGGGCAGATTGCAGTCGGATTTGAACAACGAGCATCTATTTGTTGCTGGCGGGGTAAGCAACCAATACGTATAAACTGTTACATCAAGTTAGTGGGGATCTACCACTGTTCGTCTTCCCCTCGCGACATCGATCTGGATGCCGTCCCGTTTTGGGGTCCGCCGGTGGACGGTGGACGGGAGCGCGACCGAACCGACCCCGTCTCGCCGTCTCGTCGTCTCGTCGTCAAGCACCGATTCGGACCAGACCGGCAGGCAGCGAATCTGTGTCAAATCCTGCTGAATTGCGATGTTTTCTAAGGGGCCTCCCTGACCCTGCGGGGTCTCCCTAACTAACAAAGCCTTTTTTATGTTTTCGGTGCAAAAACATCCATTCTGGGACAGAAGGACAGAACACAATTGCGAGGTACATCACCGTGGTGGCCTTTGGACTCATCCGAGTGCATCTTGGCGGCACTGGATGTGGTGTGGGTCACCAGGTAAGCTGGTCGAAATCATTCAAGCTGGGATGCCCATATATGGAGCCTTCCCGGGGATGCCTAGGGACTGCCAACTGGGGCGGGACTAGGGCTGATGACCATAACCGTCATGGGTAGTAAAGGGAGACGAGTCCGGCCACCGGCTGTGAAGGCTGCTTTTGGGCTTCCAAGATTCTGAGAACATCTTTGACGGAGAAGTCATTGTCACTGCGGACGTTCGTTGTTTTGGGTTCCAAAACATGACCCGATCCGCCAGTCGAAAGGTTGTAAAGGGAACACCGATCCACTGCGGCATCCCCGGAACTTGCGGAACTGGTTTCGTGGCGTTGCGTCACACGGGACAGGATCACCGCGGTGTTTCTCAAAGACACGTTGGATGCTGCAGCCAATGACGCGGATCACCAAGTCACGTTGCGCCTGCAAAAGAAGGCCCGGGAGTCGTCGCGGGTTGCCTGGGCTTGGATTTCTGGTTGCTCACTTTTCTGGGATGAACAAAGCTAGGCCCAGGCGGCCCAGGCGGCCCAGGGCCTAATTGAGCAACGTCATAAACCTCTGTGAAAGAATTTAGGTAGGACTTAAGATTATGAATCTGTGCGAAAGGAAAACTGCAGTTGGGGAAAGCTTGGCGAAAGGTTTGGAGAAAGGCTCTGATTTTTTGATGAATGGATTTTGTTGCGAAAGGGTTGGCGAAGAGGTTTTCAGTACAAAGCATGTCATCCAAAGATTCATGATAACCAGGCGAAAGGTTGGCGAAAGGTTAGCGAAGATGTGGCGAAAGCAGTGGTTGCAGATTAGGAATGATTCCCTTTGCTGATACATGCTGATACTTTTCTTAGATGTAAGTAGCAGAAACTCGGCGAAAGGGTTAGCTAAAGAGGTTGTCGGGTGAAGTGGGCCGGCGAAAGCAAAACATGCAGCCGCGAAAGCGTTGCGAAGGGATTGGCGAAAGGTTGTTATAATCTTAATAAAAGTTCCGCATGGTTTTTGACACCGCTCAATTGAGTCGGTGCCTGCCTTCGGTGCTTGGATCAGTGCTGTGTGGCCGGCTTTGTCCTGGGTTCCCCTCGGAAGGGTCTGTGGAAGCGCCATGTCCTTCAGGAGAAGCACCTGTTGGAAGCAGTTTGTCCCTCTAACAGGTGAGAACCCAGTAAGAGACAAAGGATGACAAACGCACCAACAACCCATCCCGTCACCTTTTTGAGAAGATACTTGTTGGTTTCGATGTTAGTATGTACTACTGACTGTAGTACAGTGACATACCTAGATGATGATCCTGTTCTTCTTGCCTGAAAGATTCACATTGACAAACCCTTTTTTGAGAAGGTGATGTTTTCACATGTTTCAGATGGGTCACTGGACTACCTTCTTAAGAAGGTGCTTGGATCGCTTGAGAAGGAGCACGAACTAGTCTTCTCCACTGTCGGACCGTCGCTCGGTGGAGAAACCGGACGACCGCCGCAGGCGGACTATGCCCAAAAGCTGGAGGTGGGGAGATTCGGCCTCCATGGTCCCTCCATCTACCCGCCGTTGTGGTTCGGGTTCGACGAGACGACACGGTGAGGATGGACGAGTACGCTGAGAATGGACGAGTATGATCCATTTGACGAAAGATATGAAGCACATGGAAGGTTCACTTGGAACATGAAAACCTATATATACGGGGCGTACATAAAGTATCGGACAGCATAAACCGTTGGTCTCATCGGAACGGCCTCCGGGCGGTCCGATGCGACCAGCGCCAGTCTTCGGACCTTCCAGGGCTCAGACCGAAAAGCAAACCGAAGGTTTTGATGCCACAATTGCGAACGCAGAGAAAAATGGTTGATTCTGTGGGGGAGAGAAGACTGTAGACTAAAGATGGTTCTGTTCCTTTTTTGCCTCTCATTCTCACATGCTCCCCTGTGACATGAGACCACTCCAGACACTTTGATCTGTCAGTGAGCACGCATGCCTCATGCCTGCTCACCCAAAAACGCATCCGTTTGATTCAAATTTCTGCAAACCGCGGTGGGATCTTCCCCGAAACCCGTGGACGGTGGTGTCCTCTCGCCGAAAGAGGCAGTGCAAGATCGAAGCCAAAGAATGGAACGGACCGCGGTTCTGCACCAATCCAATTGGAAGGCATGTTCCAAATGGCCTTGAATACGTTTGTTGGAGACATGGTGCCCGGCAAACAGGGACTTGTCTCAAAACACCGCCGCACGCTTTGACTTTGACAAGGTCAGCCATTACTGTGTTGTTTTGGCAATGCATTCGCCACTTCTTGCGACCGTGATGAAAGAGAAAGGCTAAGTTTGCATATGCCACGCATGCTGGGCATGCTGCCGCCCTTTCAGGGCAAGAGCCTGTACGGACATTCAGCAATCCTGCTGGGACTGGGACCAGAGCCATGTGTCAAATAGGGGGACCACCCAACCAAAGGCGTTTGGCTATTGTCCTTCTTGCAGAAGGTCGTTGCCTGAGAGTTTTTTCTCTTTGAGCTACACATCCTTCACCTGTGTTTTCCTAGCATCATCTCCCTCTTGCTTCGAAAAAAATACAAGCGTGGGACAGGCCCCGATGTGAAGGACAGATGTTGGCACGACATTTGTGTGAGGCAAGCTGCTGTTCACAACGGAGAATCACTGTCAAACCATGATCGGTCCGGAACTGCCCGAGCGAAAAGGCAACAATCATGGACGAGAACGCCCATGCTGACACTGGACCTTCCAGTATGATTGTTCCTGTGCTGTCAACAACTACTAAACCCAGCTGGCCGTCAACAACTACTAAACCCAGCTGGTCTTCAGAGGGCTATATACCGGTACATGATATGTCTATGTAACACAATGTACCGAATGTACTCCATATGATTGTATATGATTGTACCGAATGTACTCCATTGTCCTCAACAATACACCTAACTTCCAGAACAAACGGACAAGGCCTCAAAGGCACATGTAGCACATGTCCACTATCCCCAACTCAAGTGGCGGAAGTAGTCCCAAACGTCCTTATAAATCGGAGGCAATATGTGCATTCTTACAGTTATTTGTGCTTCACTAAGGTGCATTCCAAACCTTTTCACTTCTATAAAGCAAAAGAGGTTTTTCCGATAAGTAACAAAATGCAGCATCGCTACCAATAAGGATGCTACGAACGGGGCGCTCCTGGCCTTACTAGTAACACGAGGACGCTACGAACGGAACAACCCGCCCAAAGAGGATTTTGCCACGGAGCCGTCCGCCGATCGATGCCGAGCCGATCGAGCCGTCACAGGCGATCTTTGGAGCCATCGACCGCGAGGGCAACGGTCTGATCACCGAGGAACGCTTAGTCGAAGCCCTGGTGCCCTGGTGACCGGGTACGGCTACGGGGCGTTTTGGGCGGAGCTTGGGGAGAAACACGGGGGGGCAGATGTTTTTGGACCAGACGAGCTTGGGAGACGAACAGCTTGGGAGCCTGAGCACATGAGGTAATTTTCGAGTCCAAAGTTCAATTCTCGGTGGATTGGCAGGGTTGCAGGCACTGGAAGGGGCACTGGAAGGGAGTCGGGAGCTCAGGTGTGGATACCCTCATTCAGGTGTGGAAGTCACAGTCCTTTGAAGACGACCTTTCTCTATAAAGTGAGAGTGGCTAGAAACTGTTCAGGAAGATTTGCGTGATGTTCGATTGCGGATGGATTCTGAGGTAAGGTTCCCAGCCAAATAGGAAGTGGGTGGGAAGTGATCTTCATTGTTTTGCTTAAGCTTGCCTTGACTCAACTGCTGGAAGTGTTGGCGACCACATGCAATTACAGAAAGCCCTTGGCGAAGTGCAGGATGCTTCCAGCGCTTCAAACGAGTTCGCCGCCTTTGCAGGAACCAGGCCAAACCAGAGATGGCATTTCACTATTGGTTGGTTGAGGGGTACAACACCCCTAAGTCCTGTACAACCTATAGTCCGGTATTTGGTACCTGGCACCCAGCCGCGTATGATTCCTAAGCGTGGACACTCATTGGACCAAACCGATGTTGTATTCACATGTATTCACCCTGTGACTGGCTGTTTAAGACACGTTGGAACCCGAACTCGATGTTGCGCCCCGCTGCGCCACATCTCCCGAGCAGTGGGGAGTCCACAGGAGACTTCAAGAGAGCACAGCAAAAGAAGCACGAGGAAAGCACCTAGTAGCGATGGGCTCCAACCTAGTAGCGATGACCTCCAACCTAATAAGAGCGATGGCCTCCAGCCTGGAAACGATTTGGTTCATAGACAACATCAGAAAGCCAACGATGTCTAATTGTTAATTCTCAAATCAGCCAAATCTTGAGGTCCCCAAAATGTGAATTATGCACATGGACAATGGACGCAAGGTTAAGTCCCTACTTGTCCACTTCCCTCTTAGCTCGATGGGTGTCACGTTTAGCTCGATGGCATGATGTTCGCACCACGCGAGCACTGAGGACTATCCTGTGGTCAGAGCATACTTTCAAACCTTGGACTTGGTGCCTTTCCTTCGGTTCCGAGAGCTTCTTCCATGGAACGGTCGATTTAAAGCCTGACTGTGAGAGCAAGGTCGTATTTTTGCGTTGGATTCTGGGTCGGTTCCATGGTTCAACTTGGAGACTGCTGGTGGTTCTAGTTCATTGACCGTTTCATGGATGAGGAGACAAAGAGGGGTGAGATTGGAGGGAGCAGCGGGAGTTGCATATATGATATATGTTGGGTTTGTCCTATTACCTGTAGAGCCGTCAGTAAACAATTATCATTATTTTAGAGAAAGGCCTTTAGTATCCTTTAGTAACCATCATCGTCCGCTGTCACTGCTAATTATGATAGACCCAAGATATTTGAGATGCAGGCCGATGTAGTTGAAAAACCAAGAGGAATTCCCAATGGCCATCCTGAAGGTTGTCCCACCTCGAAAGGAATCGCTTTTGGGGAAAGCCAACAGTCTGTAAATTTGGATCCCCTTCCCATCTAACTGCTTGGAAGGGAAATGTTTAACCTTCACAGCCAGTTCCTACTGAGAGTATCCAGCCAAATGTTAAAACCTTTGCAAGATGTACTGTCGACGGTCGACGTGTGGTACCTGCTCTGTCCTCGTCAAATCTGTGAGAATGTACTGTACGTGACAGGGAGCTGCGTGTGGTTGGGACAGAGAGCTCCAAGGAAGCTGTTCAGCTCCAGGGAGCGGGCAACTCCGGCAACTCCCGTTTTTTGGTTTTCGGGCAACGGAAAGGTGTCGCAAAACATCAAAGGTGAACGAGTGCTTGAAAGGCGACGATTCGATTCTATCCACTATTCGTTATTGACTAACCACATAGAAGATTGCTGTTCAGCTGGGTGCTTCGATAAGCGTCCAAACACGATCCTTGGTGGGTTGCAACACTGACTTACACTGACTTGGGGGTTGTTTCGCCCCAATTCATTTCGGCGACCCAAGAAAGCTAAAGCCTTGTTTCAATGTTTTCCATAGCTTTCCATCGCAACAGACTCCAGGAAGTTGGTTTCTAGGTGCACTGAAGTTTTGGTTTGTGGCTGGGGATGTGCTTGATTGAAGGTCAATTTAGTTAAGTTGCCGTAAGTTCCCCTAAAAATATAGGAACCAAATCAATAGTGCGAGCGCTATCCTGCGCCCATATATACTAGTACAATCAAATGTTGAAGTCGTGGCAATTTTCTATTTTTGAAGCGTTTCCATTGGGTTTGAATGTATGGAAGTCGTGGGGAGAAGACAAGGCAGCAGCGGCAGACAAAACGCCGATCAGAGCAGACAAGCGGAGAGACAAGAAAGAAGGAAATAAGTAAAGAAAGAAAGAAGGACAGAAAGAAAGAAAGGGGTGTGCGCATATACATGATGAGGCAACAACAGGTGTTTATGCTGAGGGCCTTCCTTGCTGGCATGGATTCTGATCCCGTTCACCCTCTCGTTCACCCTCCTTCCGATACCTCTTTGCAACTTGTGTGACTCAAGTAAAGTGTGCAGAACCTGGTCCAAAGAGATGTCAAGGGACCACAAGGAGTTTAACATCATTGCTAAATCATTGCGCTTCCATGCCAGAAGCTTGTTGTGAATACATGAAAGTTGTGCTTCGGAGGGAATTTCAGAACACATCAAACATTGCCAAATCATTGCGTTTCCAAATCATAGCGTTTGCGTGCGGGAAGCTGGTTTTTGCAAGGGCTATGCCGGGACCCCCCCTCCTGGCGTCGGGCTTCCTTTGGGGAGCACAAATTTGTTCCTACTATGCCGTGACTTCCGCGGCTGAGTGTGGCTACTTAAGCTACTAGCTACCTCTTCTAGCTGCCTCTAGCTATACTACCTCTAGCCTACTCCCCCCTTGCGGGCAAAGAAATGGTCATTTGGTCATTGTGGTTCTTGACGCAGTTGCTGCCAATAAACTTCACTGACTTGGTGCAATTCCTTCTCGAAAGTTTGGCAGATGGGCCAAGGACGTCTATGAAAGCAAAGCTTTGTTCCACCTTCTCGATGACGGCGATGGGAACGTGACCTTGGAGGCCCCGGCGCTTGAACCGGACGCGACCCGATACAAGTGTGCTGATCATTGAAGGATATCACGCAGCGAACATGTCCATAAGAGTGCTATAGTGTGCCTTGTTGCCTAACAATGTTCCAACAGTTTTGGACTCAAACTGTTCACCTTGTTTTGTTTGTTTTTGCAGTTAACACCCTTTTATCAAGATCATGGTCACGGTGACGACTGCCATACATGTGCCGATCGTATGGGCCCTGTGTGGGTTTGCTGATTTGGTGAAGCTTTATTTCCGTATCAGCCATTGCGCGCATTGATGCAACGATGCAGTAATCAACGTTGCGTGTTGGTGAACACCTGTGGAATGACAGGTTGATACACGGACAAAAGCTGTTTGTTTCCAAAGGCCATATGTGTTGTTGTGTTTGTTTGTTTGCTTTGCCTTAGCAAGACGGGGAATTTCCTGCTCGCGGAGAGGGAACCCTGGAACAGAAGCACAATCCCCCCTCCTCGAAAATGGAGGATCGAGGGGGGGGGTACCTTTAGGAATTCCATTTTAATATTCCATTTACACAGCCAACATGTTTCCAGTTTTATCTCCGCGTGGCCCCGAGAAATTTTGACAAGCGACGCGGTTGAATGGGAAAGAGGCTTCAGCAAGCTCACTGAATACAAGTCTGAGCATGGAGATGCCAGGGTGCCCACCAGATTCAAGACTTTTGATGGCTTTCCGCTTGGGCAGTAGATTAAGACACAGGGAAAGAAAAAAAAAGTGCCAAGATCGTGTGAACCGCCTGAATTCACTTGACCATGCTGGCATGATTGAATATGATGGTCTTGCTTTGAATGTAGCCAAAAATCAAAAAAACAAGGAGCATCGCTTACGCCCCGCGGGCGTAAGCAACGCGACCTTTTGGACGGCAACGCGGCCCCACTGCTCGGAGCTCCCTGAGGGTCCGCATCGCTTACGCCCCGCGGGCGTAAGCAACGCGTCCATGCAGTGTATTAGGCAACGCGTCCACGCAATGTAAACCAAGGTCTGTTTCTTTGATTTAGCGCTCGATGTAACAAGATATACAACCCAACGCTCGCTTGTTTTGCACTTCGAAATACCAGATACCTGGACCCCTATCCAATGCTTTTTTGTTCTCGACCAGAAACAGGACGCAGCCCAAAAGAGACCAAAAAGATGACGCCAAAAGATCAAAAACACAACCCAAGCGATGCAAAATATGATGCAGAAAGTGCAAAACAGGTTGGGTAAGCGCAGGCTGGTGCTATGGACGACACTGAATATCACTGGATCTAGACCGTTGCTAATGCATCATCAGGGTCAAAAATGGATAATCCATTTTCTGTTGGGGGTCCGACCCCCCCACCCCCTGGGGTAGCAGGGATGAAGCACACGCTGACCCACTTGAGTCTGCGCAGCCCTGCTGTTGGTGTCTCTGCCTTAGTGGCCCAGTGTGACCACGCGGCTTGGGGAAGTACGGAATTTCGATCCTCGGAAAATTGGATCTTTCGGGCCGGCAAAGTGCCGCCCGGTTTCTTTGGAACAATGGTTTTGTTTGGGGGTATGTTTTGCACAAGGAATTCACAGAGCACAGGGCAACAGAAGGAATAAACATGTTTTTGGAACAAGTCGTTTTGGAACATCCTCTTGGTCACAAAGGTGTTTTTTTTTTTTTTTTTTTTTTTTTTTCGCAAGTGCCGCACTTGTCGTCACCTTTCAGGACACATCCTCTTGACGATCCAAGTCCCATGTATAAGACTCCATTCGTTTTGTGGCCAAAGGATGAAACATTTGCATCCAAGTTGAAGACGCCACCAAAGCAACATAAGACACCTTCATGCCAACTTTGTACTCGGATGTGCTTAGCGAGTGTGATTAGCGCTTAGTTTGAATCCAAGTCACGTCCAAAATTGTGCAATCAGTTGCTACAGAACCTTCGTTCTATTTGGAACCCATCCCAGGTGATTTGAATCCATCCCGGCAGGAGTTCATCGACGGCATGTTGCGCTGTAAGGGCCAAGCTCGGGCCATCGAACAGGCGGGCGGGAGGTTTTTGTTGATCTCCAATCTCACGCCAAACTCACAAAAGTTTCACATTTCAGTTCAAGGTAAAGTCAGCAAAAAATGTGCGCGTGCACAAAGCAAATTGGAGAAGCATTTGTTTGCTGAATTTGGCCTGGATTTACCCTAGCCTTCAAAGACTGACCTGGTGGTGTAGTGTAAAAATCGTTAGTAAAACCATGGTTCTTTGGTAAAGTCCATTTAAGAAAATGGTTAAGTTCGAATCCTAGGGTTTAGAGAATTCTCCAAACTCAAACCAAACACTCAGGAACACCCGACTTGCTGTTGCTTTATAGTAAAGACATACCACTTTTGGAACCATTTGGAACCAATTCCGGACAAAGTAGAAGACGCTGGCAAGTGAGAAATGAAGTGAGTTTTCTTTTTTGAGTTTTCTGTGCTGCAATCAGGGTTTGGGTGTTCCATATAGATTTTTACATAACGATAACCACACTCCCAATTCAAATCTATTTTGTTCAGAGAAAACTGTTTTGCACGGGATCAACCTTTCCAAAACTAACATGCGTCTACTTTTGCTCATATCCATCCCTCAGCTACTCGTGAGACGTAACACAAGAGAGTCGTGTTGTTTTTCAATAAGGGTTGATATATAGGTTCCTTTTCGACATTTATTGTCGGGCGACTCCATATATGTTCTTCATTTGGAGACCCCGTTGGTTATGAGGTTGTGAGGATGGAGTTGGGAATTGGCAGTTTGCTTCACATCCAGTTGGTGGAGGCTTCCCGATTTCGGACATCATACAATAGAGAAGATATCTTATGATCTATAATATATATATATATTATTCCTTGGACATTTCGCCAAATTTCCACCAAGATCATACCATGTTTCCAGTACCTGGTTCACCGACATGTCGACTGAATGTGCAACACTCAGACGTCTCCTTTCTGCAGCCGAAGGTCACACCGAGGGCCGAAAGGACACCCCACCATGCACTCGGCCAAGTCGGTTCATTTTTGATGGTTGCAG